TGAATCAAGGTCTTGTTTTCAGCCATTCCCCCAAGTCGCAGCTTCATGGATACTCGGATGCCTCATTCGACTCATGTCCACATGATCGCAAGTCTATTACGGGTTTTGCAGTCTTCTATGGTAACAAATTCGTTTCTTGGTCGACACGCAAACAAAAGGCGGTGGCTCGTTCTTCTACCAAATGTGAATATTGGGCCCTTGCTTCCCTGGCCTCCTAAGTTATCTGGTTACAAGCACTCCTCGTGGAACTCTGCTTTCCACTTCCTGCAGCTCGTGTGTTATGGTGTGACAATTTAGGAGCTACCTACTTGGCACATAATCCGGTCTTCCACTCCCGCTCCAAACATCTTGAGATTGAATTTCATTTTGTTCATGACCGGGTCAACAAGAATCAGCTTCACGTTCGTATCTCCCTGCTACAGATCAGTTGGCGGATGTGTTAACTAAACCGCTCACTCTTCTTACTCTCCTAATTTCGGTTATCATGGAAATTACACTATCTTCTCATGCATCATATCTTCTGAAACACTATCCTCACATCTGTCTCTTTCCTTTATTTTTTCTTTCTACCGTCCTTCTCACCCTGCGACTGACGATTCCAATCGATTTCCCCCTCCCCTGTACTCTTCTCTGCAAAAGCAATGGATGATGGTTCCTCATCATTCTTCCCGATCACCTTCTTTGCAACTATCAATTCCTCCCGGCCAGTCTCATTCTTCTTCCCGGCAAGTCTTGTGCGACTATTCCTCTTCCTCGCAAACTCTTTCCTTCTTCCCAACCTCTTGACCTTCCCTCTTCGATCTCATCTTCCCCTTTATATTCTCCTTTTTCCAGATTCCTCATATAAGAAAAGAAGATAATTCATTAGCCCTCCTCTGTTTTCTTCTTCCCTCCTTTATTCTCTCCCCTCTTTATATTCTCATTTCTAGTCCTACAGAATCCTACCAACAGATAAATTTGGCATAAATGGACACTCTTTTCCACATACGATACCATCTCATTGGCGATGCAGCCCACTCCAGTCGTCCGCATATCAGTGACCCACCCTGACGTCACAGCCTCATCCAATGCAACGAGAGTCGCTAAGCAGCAACTATGAGCTCATTACCTACCAGCACCGGAACAACCCACAGAAGACATCACCAAACAATTGGCTCGACTCTCATTTCGAAAATTATACTAAAGTTTCACCTCACCAAAGTTCCACTTGCGGCGGCGTGATAAGGAGGAGCAATACTCGGACCAGAAACCCACTCTCTCTCCCCACTATGTTCTGTTTCTCCCCACTCTGTTTTCTGTTTATTTATGTTCCTTAATTCTAGTTGTTCAGTTCATCCTCTGCGTAGGATTTACAGTCTGTTCATTCTATTGATGTATAAATACTCTTAATCAATATAGAGAAACTCAGGATTTCTGAGCTCTTTCAGCTTTCCATTCGGTTACCAAGATAAGATAGGATGTAGCATTACTTAGTGATCATCTTTGAGTTTCAGTGTGTTGAATCATAGGAGATTGGAGGACATCTTAGGATGTTAATTCAATGAATGTAGTTCTGATCACTTTTCCTTTAAAAGCTGAATCAAATATAAAAGAAATACAAGATTTATTAAGGCGAAACAAGGTTTTAGTCTTACATTGATAATAGTTTCAAGGGTTATAGGTATAATATGCCCCTCTACTATGACGTTCTATCAAACATGCCCCTCTAATATTTTTTACATCAAACATGCCCCTGTACTTTGAAAAAATTATCAAACATATCCTTCTGTTAAAATTTTGACTGAAAAAATCATCAATCATGGTTGAACCGATATTTAGACGACCCGACATCGACAAATGGGAGGAAAATGATAGTTTTGTCACTCGTTTTATTCCTCTCGGTCTCTTCAAAGTGAAATTATTTGAGTTATTTGGCTATGCAAAAGAACAAATATAAATTCTAAAGAGAAATTATTAGGGATATTTTAGACATTTGTGTCGCCCAAACCAAAGTTCGGCCTTGGTTAATGGTTATTGGATGAAAATTTTAACAAAATGGCATGTTTGATCATTTTTACAAAGTACAGGGGCATGTTTGATGTAAAAAAAATAGTAGAGGGGCGTGTTTGATAAAACGTCATAGTAGAAGGGCATATTATACCTATAACCCTAGTTTCAACGTCATTACAAAAGAAGCATTACTATTCCTCTCCCATGGTCACCAACTCTCTTTATATAACACCTCGGTTTAAGAAATAAATTCAATTTATCTGGTAGACAAAATTCATAACTAACCCTTAGTTCTTAAACCTCCAAATCGGGAAGTGATGGCCAAAAATTTAGACGACCAGAGAGGTGAACCGGTCGAGGTGGAAGGTGAGATTGGAGAGAAGAATATTGTGTTCGATCATTTTGGGTACAATTTGGACGTTTAATCATTTGGGCAAAGAATATGCAAGACAAAAGATCAATGGGGAGGCAGAAGATAGGGGACATCGGATTGGTGGTACATAAGGTCAAGAATGGACAATGGAGGAGCAAAACAATAAGTTTTATTTTCTAATTGATCTTTCAAGGAAAATTACTCTTTCATAGATGTTGTTAAGTTTTTGGATGAAAAAAGTAATGATTTAGTTACAAAAAATAATTTAAGTGACAAATGTGCAACAAACCTAAAAGGTAATGTCTATTTTCTATCCAAACCTTTTTCAGATTCTTTTATATTATTCAAACTTATTAAAATGCTATTAATTAGCCAAATCTTTCGTAATACATCAAAATATTAGCCATTTTTACGTCATCGTTAATATTTTTGTAACTCTTTTCTTAGTTAAAGTACTAAAATTTTGGAATGTCGACCTTCATGTGTCTCTTCCAAGTCAATATAATGTTGCCAAGTCAATATTACTAACAAAATTGCTAACTGGAAGTTAACATTTGGCTAATTCTTAGTATTTCGATAGGTTTGGATAATATAAAAGGATTAAAAAAAGGTTTGGATAAAAAAAAAATTGTCCAACCTAAAACGTAAATAGCTTTTTCTCAACTTATCAAAATCGGCAGGACCATTGGTTCAACCGGTATAGGCGTATAGCCGGCAATCAGTCTTAATTCCAGCTCAATCAGGACATTTAATCGCCAATAGGAGTTGGGCGCTTTGCCTATGCTACTGGCACTTCAAAAGGCGAAACTCTAAACGAGCCAATTAGTTAACTAGACAAGTCGTCTGAACCGTTTGAGAGTTTTTCCCAGTTAGAACCCTTAACCTATAATGGGTTTTATAGGGGAAACCCTCCAACAAATGTGTTGCATATATAGCTTAGTTAATTTTTAATCTGCAATTCAAAGTTTAGCTTTGAATTATTATAATTAAATAGTAGTTTATATTTTTGTAACATCACTTGTATAAACACTTAATAATTTCTATCTTTTTTAGAAATGTGATGGTTTTACTTGCCATATATAATTATATGTTACGAATATATTAAACTATTATTAATGATTTCTACTCATAATATTCTTGTTTATGAAACACGAATTTGTTAAAAATAGTTAAACCAATAAAATGTGAACAATTTGCTACACTTATTAATACTATGGTTTGGTTCTGATCACATTGTTTTTGTTAACTAATCCAAAAACAATCAAGGAAAAGAGATGGGAAAGTTGGAACTTGTAATAGCATACATATCAATGCAATTGCAAAACCAATATGCCATTTCTATTGTCATCTCACCATTTATGCAATCCAACTCATGTTAATATCATTATATTTACATCAATACTATTCACTTACAATTGCAATAGCATATTGTGGTGGATGAAGTGATTTTACAATTAAATAAATAAATGAATGAAGGCAACAAAAAAATTATTGTTTTTATTTTGTTGTGTGACTTGCATCTTCAATTTCATCAATTGCAAGCCATGGCGGAGCCAGGAATTGGAGGGTTGATTTGAAGCGTAGTAATTGGAGAAGGGGCTAAGGGCTTATCGACTACTATATTTCTATAATTTGTTACGAATTTTATATGTAATTTCGCGGTGGCTTCTATATTACCTTGGTTAAATCTAGGTATCACATACCCTTAGTAAGAAAACGCTATATAGACCTCGAATTAGCAGGATTTTTGGGCATTATACTATACTCTAACCCTTAATGAGTGAACTCTAGGTCCTAATTATCTAAATCATAAACTATAAACCCTAAGATGGTGAATTCATTTTTTGCCTATATTTGGACGAATCATAGCCTTCGATTATTGTTTCTAATTAAATTGATCTTGGGGTATAAGATTTAGAGAATTGAGACCTAGATTTTGATCTTTATAGGTTAGAGTACTAGTATCATGTCTGAAATATCAAACAATTCAAGGTATGAATAACGTTTTCACAATCAAAGTAAGCGGTACTCTAGATTTTAGCCTGGGTACCGTAGAACTGATCGTGATTTCAAATATATTTCAAAGTTGAGTGGGCTACAACCATTTGGACTTCAACTTAGCTCCACTAATGTAAGCTTGCATATTTGCAAATGTCTACGTACAATTCCTTTTGTAATTGTACATTAAATGCAAAGTAGAATTTTTAATTTGACTAATTATTAGGGGTGTGCAACAATCTGGTCCGACTCATGAGAACCATGGTTCAATAGTAAAAGGCATATTAGGATCAAGGATCAGATCAACAGTGCATTCGGTCTGTTTTGGTTTAGTTTGCTCTAGTTCAAATGTCAATTCAGTCCATTTTTCTTTAGTATTTATAAAATTCATATGATAAGAATCAAATCGCATTATATTTAATTCAGTATGATGTGTACAAACATTGATTTGTTAATGCAACAAAACGTTGCTCTAATTAGTGAAAATGGACAAGGAGTGGTGGCGGCCGTAAATTCCAACAAACACCCCAAGAGAGGGGAAAAACAAAACAAATAAAGTAAGAGTGGAAATTCAATGACATAAATACCCCTTTTTCACTTGAAATCGGTATCTCTGTATTTCCCTTCTCAACCCTCGCCGCTACGCCTCGCCTCTCTCTGATTTCCCAATCCCACCCTCGCCCCTGCCCCCAATTTCTCTCTTTTCCTTCTTGCCCTTCCTCCCAAATCTCCTTTGCTTTTTTCCGATCTTCTCCTTCCTACCTCCATTACCCGCCAACTCCTCATCTTTTTGAATTCTCGTTACCTTCTCCTTCTCTATTCCTTCCCGTTTGCTCAAGAATGTCGCACAACGGAGCAAAACCCTAACGCTCCTATTGGATTCCGCTCACTCGGTCTCTGCACTTGGCTTTTTCTTCAGTTTTCACCCCTACCCAGTTCGCTTTCTTAAGTTGGTTGCTCATTCAGAGGTGGGTTCCTGCTGCAATTTCAGAATGAATTGTTTCCTTCTAGGGTTTCTGTAGGTTGTTCGCGCGCGTGTCTATTTGTGGGTTTTCCGTGGTTGATTGTTTGGAATTCTGCGTTCTACTACTTCAATTTCGTTTCTGCTGCTTTCTTCTTTACTTCATTACCCAGTTCTTTTTTTTTTGTTTGTTTATCCAAGATGAATTTTTTGGTCCATCGTCTTTCAACTAGCTGTTTTATGGTTGTTGAGAAGACAATTGTTTGTTGATTAGGTTGCCGATTCTTCTGTACGAGATTCGAAAGCTTACTGCTTTCGCTGGTAATTTGTGCACTCGATTCAACGGATGAAAGTGGCGGCCACGGCTTAGGCTCGGGCTATCAATTGTCTGCTTCTATAGGTATGTTTCTGTTAACCCTGTCGAAACTGGAAATTCTTAGTCCAGTGAATCACAGTGGCTGTGAAAAGAAATAGTATTTTCATCATCCTTTAACCCTGCAGTGCAGTTTTTTTCTAAGATGGGTCATCAGTGGTTGTGTCACTCAATGTTATGAATCTGCAATTTCAACTTTGAATCAACATTATGAAGGACCTTCAGTTAAGGATTTTCAGTCTAGTCGTGGAAGCTGTAAGGTTTACCATTTGAGTGTCTTTTGCTTTTGGTTTGCAGGTAGAGTATTGAGGGACAATTGATTCACTACTCCTATCAGCAAAACCGTAGTTCTTTCTGGGGGAGTATAATTGTCACAGCTGTCAGCATACCGGAATTAACCTTTTTCAGATGGCTGAACATGAAGTTATATTTGGACAGAATCACAATGTAGGGCTTAGGGAGAATCAACAACTGGATTTAGGCCATAATCATGGTCAAGATCTGTCCCAAAGTCATGATAGTCTGGAATTGGGACAAGGACACGACCATCGTCACCTGGATCTGGGACAGTCTCAAGATCATGACGAACTGGGCTTAGGGCATTCCCATGACCACGAATTGGGATTGGGACAGACCAATGGCCATGATGAAGCAGATTCCGGTCACAGTTATGGGCACGAAAACGAGTTAGGAGGCATTGATCGGAAACCCGAGCCAGTTGGGCACGAGCTGGCACTTCCTGTACAGGGTCGTCAACTGGTTTTATCTGAGAACAACCACGAATCACCTGTTTCTGATGATGACCAAGAACTTGTTGCTCACCTGGAACTTGCTGTGCAGGAAGGCGATGAGGAAATGGGAATGCAAGAACATAGTGATGATTTGTCAATGGACCAGTCCCTTGTCTTCCATACACCTGTCCTTCAAGCCCGCACAGTTCTTGCAGGCCCCAGCTATGAGTTGAAAGTGGGGCAAGAGTTCCCAGATGTGATCAGCTGCCGCAGGGCACTGAGGGACACAGCAATTGCCCTTCATTTTGAAATGCAAACCATAAAATCGGACAAAACCCGATTCACAGCTAAGTGTGCAACTGAAGGGTGCCCCTGGCGGATTCATGCTGCAAAACTCCCTGGTGTCCCTACTTTCACAATCAGAACCATACACGAATCTCACACCTGTGGTGGAATCTCTCACCTTGGTCATCAACAAGCCTCTGTTCAGTGGGTTGCAAGCTCTGTGGAGCAGCGACTTAGGGACAACCCTAATTACAAACCCAAGGAGATACTGGAAGACATTCATCGCACTCATGGGATCACTTTATCATACAAGCAGGCATGGAGAGGGAAAGAGCGTATCATGGCTGCCATGCGTGGCTCCTTTGAAGAAGGATATCGATTGCTACCACAATACTGTGACCAGGTTAAAAGAACCAACCCTGGAAGTATTGCAGCGGTATATGGGAACCTAACAGATAATTGCTTCCAGCGTCTCTTCATATCATTCCAGGCTTCAATCCATGGGTTTTTGAACGGCTGCAGGCCTCTCCTTGGACTGGATAGAACGTATCTAAAGAGCAAGTACCTGGGCACGTTGCTTCTTGCTACTGGCTTCGATGGGGATGGTGCTCTATTTCCATTGGCATTTGGTGTGGTTGATGAGGAGAACGATGATAACTGGATGTGGTTTCTCTCTGAACTTCATAACCTTCTCGAGGTAAACACTGAAAACATGCCCAGGCTTACAATTTTGTCAGACAGGCAAAAGGGCATCGTTGATGGAGTTGAAGCCAACTTCCCAACTGCTTTCCATGGGTTCTGCATGCGCCACCTGAGTGAAAGCTTCAGAAAGGAGTTCAACGACACAATGCTGGTCAACCTATTATGGGAAGGTGCTCACGCTCTAACCGTCATTGAATTCGAAGCCAAAATCATTGAGATTGAGCAGATATCAGAAGATGCAGCATACTGGATACGCAGAATACCCCCAAGGCTATGGGCCACGGCTTACTTCGAAGGAACCCGATTTGGTCAATTGACTGCGAATATCGTGGATTCGTTGAACCCTTGGATCCTTGAAGCCTCAGGGCTTCCTATAGTCCAGATGATGGAATGCATAAGGAGGCAGCTGATGACTTGGTTCAATGAACGACGCGAGACCAGCATGCAGTGGACATCAATACTTGTACCATCTGCCGAGAGGTGTGTTGCAGAGGCTCTCGAGCGTGCGAGAAGCTATCAGGTGCTGCGAGCCAACGAAGCCGAGTTTGAAGTTATATCTCACGAGGGGACGAATATAGTGGACATAAGAAACCGGTGCTGCTTGTGTCGGGGCTGGCAGATCCATGGCTTACCCTGTGCGCATGCTGTGGCGGCACTTCTCTCATGCAGACAGAACGTGCATCGTTTCACTGAGAGCTGCTTCACCGTGGCGACTTATAGGAAGACGTACTCGCAGACCATCCACCCGATACCGGATAAGATCGTGTGGAAGGAACTTGCAGATGCTGATCCCAATTCGAGCAGTGCTGTTGAGATTGTGATCAACCCACCCAAGTCGCTTAGGCCGCCAGGGAGACCAAGGAAGAAGAGGGTGCGGGCGGAAGATCGTGGGCGGGTCAAACGGGTGGTGCATTGCAGCAGGTGCAACCAGACGGGTCATTTCAGAACGACGTGCGCAGCTCCCATATAGTAGGATATCTCTATCGACTGTGAATGGAAGGTTCCTTTTAGCAGATTTGGTTGAAGGAGGAAGTCTTGTAATTGAGCTTATTTATAATGTGCGAAGAGTATGGCTTCTATCCTTTTACTAGATTTCTTAATGTAGGATGGTATGTATTAGTTGTTAAGAGTAGTAGCTAGTTAGTAGAAATTGCAGGAGGTGGGGTTTTACTCAATTATGTCACTTTATTGAGCAGCATTTCTGGTGCTTTTAAGAGAGATAAGTTGATGGATCACTGCAATAAAACCGAAGTCTATGAAAGTGTATTTTTCACATTTGATGTGAAGATTCTAATTCAGCTGTTGCGGATGTAGTAGCATCTTTATAGGTGTGTTGTTTCTTTCCCGAACAGAGATAGCATTGTATTGTAATGGAGTGGAATGAGTGCTCTATACATCTGTTGCTAAGCCAAAGCAGTGAAGCACCAAAAGAAAAAGAACAAGGTGAAAGTGAAGCAGTAGGGATGTTTTGGCAACAAACACTCCTAAATTTATGACTCCCTAAACTGAAATTGGACTGACCATGAATCTTTGAATCATTATTCAATGGTAACTGATCTAAGAGCATCTCCATCCATGCAATTGCAAAAGAAATTGCATTTGTGTTTTTTATTGTCAACTCAAATTTTTTGCAATCCACATCACATTCATTTCATTCACCTACATCAATGAAATTAACTTGCAATTGCAAATGTAATTAAATATTATGTTTAAATTATAGAAAATTAAGTAAAAGAGAAAAGAAAATAATATAAAGTAAAAACTGCCCATTTTTTTAGGCTTTTTTGACTTGCATATGGAATTGCATTTGTTGCAAGCTTGCAAATATGCAATTGGTAGCCATATCAATGCAATTTGGGTTTGCAATTGCAAACACCTATGCCATGTCATTTTGCAATTGAGAATGCAATATTAATGTGGATGCTCTAAATGAACTCATATCAACTCTTAATGAATTTGGGCTTTAGTTGGGGTTGAATAGGACCAATTTGAGTGAACTCAAATGATTCTGAATTTAGAATGATTGTATTAAAAGTTAATAGCAATCCTTACTTAATATTATAGGGATTCAAAACAAAATTAGTGCCACATAGGCACATAGCTAACTCTCAATAATCCACGGTGGACTCTACTAATTCCTCTTTTTTTTTATACAAATGTGGGCTCTTTTATTTATAATTAATGATCTTTTTTCTTACACTTAAATATATAATCATTATCTCAACCATCCAAGGGGGACTCTTCTAATTCCTTTTTTTTTTACAAATGTGGGCTCTTCTTATTGTAATCGGTATTCTTTTTTTGCTTACACTTTAAATACATTATTATTATCAATAAAATGTAAATTAAGGAAAGAAAAATGTTTAATTTCCAATGCATTCTCTGGGTTTGCTTCCATCCCTTTTCCCGATAGCTTATATTTTTAAAAGGAAAATCCAACACTGGTAGGAAGAAGAAATAACAATTTGGATAAAGTCATGTAAAAAACAAGGAAACTATCTTCTTATTTACTCAAAATTTTGGGATTTCTTGCATTTCTCTCTACTTTTTTACACAAAGATACATGGGAGGAATGACAAGGCATATGGAATTGAGCAGTTGTAACATCTTTTTGGGTTGTTAACGAAAAAACATTCATCCCAACTTTGCGAAGACGAAGCGAACCAATTTGAGGATTGCAAATTGCTCCCTCTTCCTCTTGATCTTCAACTGGCGACATGTCTCTCTTCTCCAATGATTTGCGCCTGCCTGCAGGTCGAGCGGCCAAGTTCTACTCTTCTACTCATCTGGTATCCCTTTTGTACCAAATTATGGGACAGGTCAAAAATTTGCCTACTTGATTATATTAATGGGTTTCTTATTTGTTTTTCAAGTTGTTATTTTACGATTCTCTATTCTACTTTATGTAAATAGGTAACAAATAATTGGAAGAGTTAATTGCTCGGACTTAGAGCATCTCTCCTTGATTGAACAATTGATCGTTTTCTTTAGAGGCCTATGGCATCATGATTCCATGGGCCCTGGAATGCAAAGCAAAGTTGAGAGGGTATGATGTTTTTGTGTTTTTTTAATGTTCTACAGTGACTACTAGCTAGCTATACAAGGATGATCTTATCAGCAAGTAGTATTTAGGAGGTGTTAAGTAAACAGGAAATATGCGGTGTTTCATAAAGGCGATAAGAAGAAAGAAAGCGGTTGTGGTAAACAGTGTGTCTATGTGGATGTTCTTTCAAATTTTACACGTTTACAATGACATTTTTTTGTTTCCTTAGTTGGTTAGGAAACAATTAGGCTGAAACCAATCCCTGTTCATGGATGGGGATTGTATAAGATAGAATGAGTTAAGTTTTATTGAAGTCTACCACTTTTATTATTAGTGTGGCCTTTTATTTTTTTAACTTCTTTGGTCATTTTTGCTTGATAAAAGAATAATAATCTCTTATGTTGTTTAACAGTAGTTGACAGGTTCGATACTAAATGAACGCGTGATATAATTATTTCTATTCATTTTGTAATTTTGACATCCTCTACTTATATCATAAACAGTGGCTTTCGATACAAAATTCTATATCAATAAAGAACCATCTTCAATAACTAATTTTATGAAATTAAAGTTTTTATATTAATAAACAAAAGCTAAAACGTGTGAAACAATTTCTTAAATAAGGTATTTGAGTTTAATATTCCATGTATAACAGTATAACATATATGAGTCATAAAAAGATTAGACTATTACAACGATAAATAAATAAAAAATGCACCGCCCAACGGGCGGGTGAAAAACTAGTAATCTTATTAAATGTCTTCAATCCAATTCACACTTTCGGTGTTGGTCTTTCAATGTTTTTATTTGTTTCATAACAAAGAAAAAGACAAATCACATTAGAATCAAATATCCATTTTATTTTGGTAGCTAATATAATGAGGTAAATTGCATGTTTCGGTCACTATGTTTCCTATTTTTCATGTTTTTCATTAAAAAAATTAATTACATTAATGGTCACGCACAATTCATTTGCAATTCACCAATTGTCACCTTCCATTATCTTTGTCCTATAGGACAGTCAACTTTAACGTTTGATTGTTAAATTGTTGACTAGTGATTTAAAAATAATAAACTTAAAATTTTAATAATGTACACCTCACCATTAAAAAATGAAATTGGAGTTATTATTCGAATAGGTGGAAGACACTGCCTATAAGATCTATGAAGGACTTATTCTAGCCAATTCCGACTCCCGCCTGACGAAGTCCTAGAGAACTCGTACACCTAAGTAGAATGGATACTACCCCGCCACAAATATCTTGTTAGTCAATATTCCTCATGTTCATAGAGAAGAGGACTTTGGACTTCTCTTTACTGATAATCTCACATGAAGCGTCACAAAACTTCTCCATACATTCCATGATAATTTTGAAGGTCGATCTTTGATTAGGGATTTCTATTTCGAAAGGATTGGGAAAGTACAGGAAGAAGAGAGGAGAGGACACCGGTCTGCTTTGATCTCTTTCTTTATCGATATGGGCTTAATTCAATCAAGGCCCAATCGTTAAGTAGAGATGCAATAGGCAATTTGGGCTTTTGAGCACCAAACCCAGTAACACGATAAAACAGAGACGTACTCTGTTTAATCTTCTTGATTCAGAAGCAGAACAGAGGTACGAGGCAGGGGAAGAAGAAGGAAGGAGCAAAGTAAAGAACACAGAGGCCATTTTAACGAGGTTCGCCCAAACAATGGCTACTTCCTCGTCCCGACAACAATCAACACCATTGCCGAGAGACACTATCAATTTTCAGCTTTAATGGACTCAATTACAATGAAAATTGAAAAGCAAAAGTACGAACAAAACAACCGGAGTTTTCAATCCAAAACTCTGCACTCTTCAGCCACTCTCTCAGAACCTATACCTCTGGAGAAATTCCCTTTTCACTCAAACACACAGCCCTCTACCACTCTTGTCTTTGATGTGAAAAGTGGTTGATCTGAAGCCGAGAGGAGACAATATATAGCCTTGATTAGTAGCCGTTAGGAAGAAATGTCTGTTGCTCCAGCATTGAGTGAGTTTCCCAGAATAAACTTCTTTCCTTTTCTATCCAATATGATGCTCCAGTCTTGCCACAGAAGTTGCTACTCTGATCTCGCCCAACAATCTCCCCCTAGATCAGAGTTTGCAAATGAAACACAACCTGCAAGAAAAGAACAACACATAGCAACCGAAACTACAGGCCAAACATTCAATCGCAGCAAACCGGTTTATCTAGCAATGAAAAGACCAACCATCAATCCCAAAAAAAAAACAAGCACTCAAGGCAATACATAAGAAAGTTTTAAGTTTGGTGCACAACGAAAAGCAATAACTCCCCCTAACAAAAACTCCCCCTGAGTGAGCGAATCTCAGTCATCATCAGAGCCAAAATCGTCAGAGTTGTAGTCCACAAGTCTACCAGCCAGCCCTCCAGCCATTTTTGCAGCAGCAATAGCAACAACATGAAACCCTTCTTCAGCATAAGCAAGAGCCGCAACAAAGTGATCGAAATCAAAGGCATCATTATCTTCTATATTTGCTTCTCCAGTAACACCTTTAGGGTCCTCTTCAGGGTTATCTTCTGCCAAAGCTTCAGGGTCCTCTACTGGTTCGTCGTCAGGATCTTCATCAGAATCTTCTTCAGGGTCATCATCAGCAATCACCCCCTCGTTTGCAAGCTCCAAAGCATCAAGGACTTGTTCAACAGTGAAGAACCAGGAGGGTTGCTCAGACTGAAAGAGTGAGATACTAATCCCTAGACGGAGAATGAGCTGAGTGATAAGAGCCCAAAGGGAAGGGGACCAGGGAAACTGGAGTCTCCAAAGGTCATGAAGACGCCAAAGAGGAGATAAGAAAAATCTAATGGAACACCAGTCACAGCATGAGACATTATCCAAAGATCCATAGGAAGGATAACATCTAGAGATTGAGTGCGTGGCAACAAGATTCTGGTGATGACAAAATGAAGCGCACGAAGGCTAGGGAGGACAAAGGTAACTGGAAGATAGGTTGCTGGGCCAGGATGGACACCAGTCAACTAAACAAATTTTGCCGCAATATTGAAGTTGAAGCGCCAAAGCTCATATTCATGAGCCAGAACTTTGCCTAAGGTAGGAATGTTTAGAAGGCAAGCAAGTTCAGGGACATGAATGGTTACCAGATGACCATAGACAATAGTTGAAAAACTGCGACTATGGAGACCAAAAGAGCGCAGATTGGAATAGAAGTAGCG